CACTTAGCTGACAGGAGCTCTGCTACCACTCTGCATACAGAGAGACAGTAGTCTCAAAAGTGTAATGATTTTTTGGAAAGACTACGCCTTTCTAAAAGATATACTTTATCTCAACAGGAATTTATGAGCTTGATGGAGGAAACACTTGATTAAATTTTACAGCCTGCAGTGTACAAGTGCCAAGATTAGATTATCATAATTGGCCCATCTGATCTTAAAATCCATGAAATGCTGGAAACTGCATATCCGATTTAGAGTACGATATCTGGATTGCACCCCTGTGCACTCAGGCCCTGTGCTGGTTCCATGCCCAAAAAAAACAGTGCAGAAAAACAGCATAAGCAAACAAGGAAATGTCCTGTGTCTCTAACAGTGCACAGCTTCACATAAAATAATAAAAGGCCATCATCTATCTTCCTTGCTTATGTAACTAATCATCCAAAAATACAGAACTGAAAATGATAGGGAAAAATACTGCGGGAAGTGCCCAAAATACTCAGTCAGATCCTTTTTATTTTCAGCATTTTTGTTTCCTGAACTCAAATAGGTCATACCAAGACAGTCACCACTTTGAGTGTCAATCCTTGCAAGTCATTGCCCAGACGTCGTTCTTGTAGGCTACCGTTCAGTCCTTTCTCAGAGTCCCACGTTGCCAACTAGAGAAGAAAACACAGTGAGTCTGAAGGACAGTTAGGCAGAAATCTTTCAGTATTTACACAAACATTTAACAGTAGCTTGACCAAATCCAGAACTGATATAGAGATGATGAGAGATGTGTGGCTTTTTTTAATGCAGAATCAGAATTAGTGAGATTCAGAGGACAGACATAAACAAGTACCTTACCTAAATATATTTTCATTGAAGACTGTAACATAAACTGCTCTATTATCTGTAGTATTTGTAATATTATTTTACTTATATGACTCTGATATGTCATTTCTCTCTGGTATGTTTATATTGCCTGACAGTCAAGAGGATTATCTGTGGTCTTACTATCCCATATTTCCCTCTCTGTTCATATCCCCTCCTACTTTTCAAATCATTCCCTATTGCATATCAAAGACCAACCTTTTTTTCTGCTGCACAATGTTTTCACTCACTGATAGTCATAAATTCTTTACACAGGTTCTATGGTGTCAAACTCCTCTTCTCTCTTGGACTTTCTTCAGATCCTGTCTTAAGTCCTATTTTCTCTTTTCTTGCCCCATTTCTGCTTCATCAGTAAAACAATGACAGCTTCTCAAGTTCCCAAACTCCTGATGATCAAATATTTCATATTTACCAGTACTTTATGCATCCTCTAGATGTTCTCCCTGGAACATTACATCTAAATATTTAATTTTTCAATTAAATGTATCGCTTTAAAAATCAATTTTACTGCATTTTTCTGAAGAGAAATGCAGTAAAATTCAATAGAATAGGTTCAATATAAAAGTCAATCTTAAGTGACCTTTGGATTATTCAAACTAAATATGCTCTTCAGCAGCAGCAGCAAGACACCACTTTTCCCTTCAAACAGAATCCACGGTGTCATTTTGTTCAGAAGAGTCATAAATAGTACCAAGTAGAAACTGTTTCCTTCTTTTTTTCAGCTCTACTCTTAAACACCAATACTATGCTCACATATGTGGAAGCAGTGGTGTTAGCTGAAGGCATGCCCTGTAGAAATTAAACATAGTCCAAGATCTGTGAAATGTGGCTTCTTCCTGCCAGAAGCTAGTTTTCATGTAACAAGTCAAAACCTTCTTGGAAAGAACTTATTTCACTGAAAATGCCTATGGCTAGATGTCCTACATGATTTATTTCTATGACTTCAGTTTTATCCTAAAGCCTCAAAAATCAAACCAACAAATAAAATGTGATGGGAGAGATCTGTATAGTTTTATTTTTGTTTTATTGCACTAAACTGATAAACAGGGAACTAGAAAAGAATGGAACACTCAGTGAATAATCAGCCATCATAACTATCACAGCTGATGAAAATTATTCTATAGTCACTAAATCTTCAAAGCTGAGACACAGGAGAGGAAAGAATTAAGCTAGACCTCCTTTTATCCAGATGACCTGGAAGACGGAGGAGGAGAATGAATGAATAATGCTCAGCTTTCTAATGACACTCTTGAAAGTTAAAAATACCTCAGACTGAAAACTCTTCTCCTGTGATGTTAGTTTGGAGTGACAGATGAGCTTCTGCACGTAAAAGTGTCTGCAGCAGTACAGGTAGATACCTACAGTCATGGTATTTTTTAAATTTGAATTTAGATGCTTGCTCTGAAGTATGTTCAGATGTTTCTTAGCTTTTGCTATTGCCAAACCAAATTGACAAATTTGTCATCTGACATAAATCAATGTGGTTCAACAGACTTCAAAGACCAGTATAGGTGTGTGTGGTATATATTGTGTCTCAGATCTGTAAAGAAAGTTCATTGTCAGCCTTCTTCAGCTGTCCTATGCAGTAAGTATCTGATAAAGATGCATGGAAGGTTTTGGCCAAAATGGCTTGCACAATCTACAGATGATGATTAAATATTTATTAAAAAATAGGAAATGTAACACAATCATTTATTATTTCACACCTGGTGGACTGACATTTCAATTCCTTCTCCCACTCTTTCAAAAACTCCATCTGATTTCATATCAAGGACTTAGACTTTTCAAATACCCTACATTTCACATTCTGCATTAACTCTAAGAAGTCCGAAAAGGAACTGGAGATATGCCAGTGCAAAAGCATAAATGTATTCTTTTTATTCAAAAGAAGCATGACAAAGATTCCTCTTTAATGCAGTAGGGGTAAGTGCAAGAAGGAGGAGCATATTTCACTTCAGCACAGAACTCCATAGTGTTCTCTATGGAGGCAGAAACTTTTCAGTCTCTAAAAAGAAAACTATGCAGATAAAGTTGCTAAATGGAACACGAGGAAAACCATTTCCAGAAGGGATTTTTCCTGTGCATCCCTGTGCTTCAGAACATTTCACTTGTTCAAAGGTGTGCCAATTTTACCTTCCACTTCTTGCAGACAGAATTTTGTTTATAGTACTGATGTATTTACAGATACATCTATCAATTCGTGACAGCTGACCTGTCAAGATCAGCACCTGAGAAACTAATTTCCAGCACTGTTAAACACAATGAGTACTGCTGTTATTTGATAAGGCCGTTAGAGTTTCATTCTTTGTAGAAATATGTACCATGTTCCTACCAGAAGTCTGAAGCCAAGGGTTATAGACAGCCATTGGCTGATAGGGGATAAAGGGCTTTTAGATCTGATTATGACAAACTGCTTGCAGAATCAGCATTTGTAGGATGTACTTCAAAAATCAATGGTCTCTGGAACATATATTTAACGGAAGCGTGGGTGGGTTTTTTTGATTCTCAAGTTACTCGGTTATGGGAGTTCAAGTCTTGAAAACAGCTACTTTATTAAAGTTTTTCAACTTAAACCTCCTTCCTAGCTTCCCTTTCTGAAATAGCCATATTGCTGGGAATCCTGTAGTTTTAGCCATACATCAGAAGCTCAGTCTTCCAATAAAGACAAACCAGAGGAAAAAATGTGAAATTCAGACAAAAAGCTAATTTGTTGGAAAATTCTGACTCAAGACACGTTTCTGATCTTTATCGATATTTACTGCGTTTTCAACCAGAACTGAAAGGACAAGCTTGGAGAGAGAAAGTCACAATTTTAACATTGTTTTCAACCTCCCCAAGCAATGTATATCTCCAAACATGCAGAGTCAACACACAAGCAAAATTACATGACTAGACAACCTAGGAATATCAAATGAAAAGGATGTCATTGAAAATATGCCTCTTGAACCTGCTGTTCAGGACTTTGTCCTGAAAGGTACTGATATCTGTCAGGACCTCCAAAGAAAACTTCATGTCAATGTAACTTTAGGGTTCCTGAGTTACTATCAAAAAATGAGAAGTCAAATTCTACAAAGGAGTTTCTTGACTCTGTTAATGATGCAGCTGCTGGCTGTCCAACACTTACTTGAGCGATTAGTTCCCCAGGGGAAATCATACTGAGATGTCATGGTAAATTCACAGCAGAGAATATCAGAAACAACTCCACAGAAGCGTGAAGACCCTCATCAGCACAATGAGGCAGACAATCCTTCTGCTCAAACAAATCAAGGCTGCATGCATTAAACACAATTTGCAAGATTTACTACCTCTGTGAACATGATCAATTAGATTGAGAGCCTGCGTACCACTTCCTTTAGGAAATGAAACTGATTATAAACTCAGTTATTTGTTACACATTTGTTTGTCTGCAAAGTCTCCATGTTCATGCTACTCTATTACACAATAGTTACATATTCCTTGAATCAGGAACTTGAATTTAATTTTCGTAACTCTGCTGTGAATGCTTACACCACTGGACTATAGTAAATGTCTGTCTCAGGCCCATATAAAGATGAAAACTCTCCCAAATTACTAGTAAATTCAGTTGAAAACTGACATTAGCATAAAAAGTGAGTATTTAGTGTTTCTATCACAACAGTGAATAAAATCATCTACACTATTTTAGTTTATGATGCAGTAGCTACTGTCCAAATAACTTGTATCACTGGTATCTAACATCATTTTCAGTATGATGCTGTCCTAAACATGATCTACTTTTCAGGGAAAATGTGGTTCCCATAAGAAATAAAACAAGATAATTTTCAGCAGATGTATAGTAATGTTTGAAAGGGCTACAATCAATCCAGAGTATGCACCTTCTGTCTTAACAAAACCTGAAATCTTTTATCTGGTGACTTCTTTGGAGCTAAGGTTACAGTATCCAAAGGTATTAAATTTGGGAACCCCTGCCTAGAAACCTGAAAAACCCCTAGGAGACAGGAAATTGAAGAGAGTGCAAGGCAGGCAGTTTTCATGCCATGAGACACAGACACCTCTATCAACCCAGAGCATATTTTCTGTGAATATGAAAGCTGTTCTGTGCATGGAGTTAAACAAATTAATCTATGCCACTCACAATCTGATAATGCTTTTAGATTAAAGTTGAACTGAAACAGATTTCATTCAATGAGAACTTGTTTCTTAAGCTTTAAGTCAACTTAGTGTATATCAAATATGATGTCCTTGTACCATGTACATATATTTTGCATGCTGGGGCTTCACTCCCTTTGCCAGTCTTACAATATGGCTAAATACTTACCGAAACATTTAACATTATAAAAACAGATTTTAAGCAAACATGATAATCAAAAAAAACCCAAACAAAACATAATCAAGAAAATTAATGTTAACAGGAAACAAATATGAAATAAGGCAGTATTTCATATTAAATAAGTTGAGTAAATTGGACACTCCTCTTGCAGTTCTAAGGAATAAAAGGAATTCCATTTAAATAGTAAGTAAAACAAATATTTACATATAAGTCCACAATTCCTTTTTAAATGCGGTTTATCAGTAATCTACAGAATTTGCTGTCAGTCAATATCATTCACAACAAAGTAGTAGTAGAACTCACACATTGGATTATGTGTCATTCTCAAGGAACTGACAGATTCTCTGAAATATCATTTCCATTTTTATGACTAGAGTTGCCTTGAAGGTACAAAAAGCTTTTCATTTGAAATATGGAATCATCATTAAGAAAAATTTTAAAAACATTTTGGACTGTATATCTGTGTAATCCATAGTTACATGAAACAGGATTAGGAAGATATAAAGCTATCAATTCTCATACTGCAAGCAAATCCAAACACTGATACAAATCATTTCTATAACAGCTATGCAATTATTAGGAATAGTCTAACATTTCTACTTTAAAGCAATCTTATAGTCATTATTAGGGATCTACGTCCAGATATTTATTCTATTCTGATATTCTGGATTTGTTTCTATTAAAGATGGCTAAATACTTACCGATGTAGCTTGCATCTGAACATCTGCAGTGGGATTGGAATATCTATGCACCCATAGCCATAGAGCCACTGAGAGCTCCAAAACATATTAAAACTATGAAGCAGGGGATTGTGAACCAAGTCTTAAATAGTACAGAAACTCTCAGTCTTTGGGGTGAAAATTTTATCATAGAATCATCTTAGAATGGTTTGGTTGGAAGGGTTCTAAAAGATCATCTTGTTCCACCCCCCCTGCCATGGGCAGGGATGCCTTCCACCAGACCAGATTGCTCAAAGCCTTATCCAACCCGGCC